TGATTTTAAAATTGTCTCATATATTCCTATGAATCATGAAGTCTAAACTATTTTCAAGGATATGAATCAATAATGTAAAATAAAGGTATTACTAAATTTGAGGGCCTACAAATATAATGCCAAATGAAACTGTTTCATTGTACAGCATACATTTGCTCTATAAACTTACTGGATGTGACATGCTCTGATGGGAGATATTTGGCTATATTCTGTCATTTTTAATAGGCTGGAATATTCCTACTTGTCCCAATGAATGGTATCAGCGTGGAGAAAACTGCTACTATTTGTCAAGAATCAAGAAGACTTGGAATCAATGTCTAGACTATTGCACTAGTTTAAATTCAACATTTCTTAAGTTCAATACTGAGGAAGAGATGGTAAGGGTAAGATTTATTTTCTTAAATATAAGTGAGTTTTGTTTCTAAAATTTAACTAGTACAGCAATCACTCAAGATTTATCTACCTCTAAAGCATCTTCTACATGAAAACTCCAGCAATATTTATGATTTGACTAACTTTTCATATTAACATTAGTAATACTTGAATTTCTTTCCTCATTGTTTAGGATAACATGCACCAATAATGTACTCAGTTGACTTTTAGCCTGATTCCTACCTGTATCAGGTAGGAATATCAGGTACCTGATAAACCCTTGTTTTTTCTCCCCTTTCCCACCCATATTTCAAATATTGTGACACATGTCACTATTTATTGTGTAAACTGATAGATTTTCAGTGTCTATTGTAACTATCATGATAAAATTCTGTTCATTTGCATAACCTATAACCAAATAAAGTGATTAAAATATAATGAATAACTAAGGGAAAAGAATCATTAGCAGATGATCCAGTCATATGGCTAAAGGTGCTAAGGTGAATCCCTCCAGGTTATTTCCATATAGTAGGATAGATTTGCAGGGAAGTCTGCAAGTGAAATAAAGGTATTCAAGTAATTACAGTCCTCATGCTTAGGAAGTTTTATCTTGTCATTTATTTTCCTTTTTCTCTACAGAATTTTGTAAAGAAATTGTCAAAGACGCCTTGTGAAAATTTACAAGCAAAGTTCTTCATGAACTTGTACTATAACAGTACACAGTCCAAATGGGTTTGGCTGGATGGTACAGATCTTACCCTGAACATGTAAGTCTCTTGTTTTCAAATTCTAGACTAGAATCTCTTATAGTTGTATTTTTAATTAAATCATTTATTGTGAATATGAACAGATATTAGATTAAATAATAGATGCCACCATAGTAAAGCTACTTGGAAAAGACAAAAATTAAGTGGAAAGAATTACATGAAAATTACAGTACCAGAAAAAATGTTTAACTTGCATAACTCATTTAGATTGCCTATAACTTTTATAATTGAGGTCTTAAAGGATGGTTGAATAAATAATGTTGCTCACAATTTCAAGAGTACAGAGCTCAGGTGACAATTTATCTTTTTTTTTTTTCTGAGTATTGATTTACTTTTGCTTACAAGACCTGAGGGTTAGGCCTGAGGTAAAGGCCAGAGGTGTGAGAGGGTTCACCAGAGACAAAGGAGGGAGCAGAGGAGGCAGACTGACTGAACTTCACTGCTAGGGAAATTTGCTGCTTAGGGAAGAGCTGGAATGTGAGATAGGAGCTGTCTGCTGTGTCATACGGGTCAGTTGCTTGGTAGGGAGACAGCTCTCCGTGACAGAACTGAGACTTAACCCCTATACCCAGATTATGATTGGTGAGAACCAATAATTTTATTGCACTCTATATACTGTAGAAATTTTCAGATTATAAACATGTAAAGGAAATAGAGCAAACCTAAGTGAAAACTGAAGATATTAAATTACCTTACCTAAAGAGTTGATAGCTAGCAATTCCTGTATATATATTCCGCAATTTCACGTTGCCTAAGGTCATGTGTTATCATCAGAATGAAATTGGTACTTTCCCAATTCCAGATTTAGTATTAAATTATGAGGTATAATATATTTATTATGTGTAGTGCTGAATAACTAAGAAAGTTGATTTCTGCTTTTGTCAGCTATGAAATATCATAGACTTTAAACATTCAAATATTATATAAAGGAAATTAAGCATCTAATGGAAATTGTTTTATCTCATAGGCTTCCAACTCCTGGACATGAAAATGTTGATAGTAAATGCATATATGTATATTATAGCAATATAAGTGCTGAAGATTGTCAAATTATGGGATACTGTATCTGTAAGAAGAATATTCAGATCTGATAAATTCATGAAAAGAAAATATAGCAAACATGTGAGATTTCCCACGCTGATGACTTCAACAATGTTAACAATAGAGTTCCCGGAAAAAAAGGTTCATTATAGAAGTCCGTGTGCTATTTTTAATTTACATCCATAATATCTAACAATAGAAATAAAAAAAAAAACACTACTGACCACTGAGAAAAATATGTAAAATATGTAATTCGTTGGGAATTATTAAATACAATTCCCCAGGTTGGGACTCAAGTATTAAATACTTTTAAGATGTTCAAACCTTCTAGTATGTACGACGTTAATCTTTTCTATATAGTATCATTTGAAAAAATATTTTAAAAGCACAAGTTTTCAGCAAGAAGAGAAAGAAAAATAGAAGTAGAAGTGTTAAGGGGGAGGATGTCCTAAAGGACCTCTGCAGAGTCTAATGGACTCCACCCCCTACTCCAGCTTTCTGGACCCTACACCGTACACCGTACTCCAGTGATTGGAAACTACAACTCCCAGCAGTACCAGGGAGAGAACTGCGAGGATCCAAGGGCGGAGCTAGCAGGAAGGAATTCTGGGACATTTGGGGGATAAAGAGGGTGCGATTGCATCTTGTGCTGCCAGATCTGGCTTTCTCTTTTGGTCAGGAAGCAGCTGTCCGGACCGTGTGACTTGGTGTGTTCAGTCAGCCTAGCCCTAAGGTATTCCACTTTGTATCCCGCTCTCTTTCCCTGGGGTGTTTCCTGTCCCTTTCCCCTTTTGTAAATAAACCCATTATTGACCCTTTTGTGTGTACCTGCAGTGTAACTGAATTCTGAGAGTGCAGGGTGTGGCCCCACAGAAAGCGGGCCAGTCCACTCTGGGCTACCCTGTCACAGAAGTACTGGTCTAAGCACAGACAGACAGGAAAGCTGCTGGCATATCTTCCTTTAGAAGACAGGATAATGGTCAAATACGGTTCTAATAGCGGGGCGCTATTTAAACACTGTTCCCTATATAGTTACTAAGAGTTTGAACATTTAAACACTGTTCCCTATATAGTTACTAAGAGTTTGAATATGCATAGTTTGCACTGAAATGAAAAAAAAAAAATCAAGTTTGCTTCATTCACCATTAAGAATTTTTCCTGCCACTGGTCACACATCGAGCTTTACGTGCTGGAGACATACATGAGTACACGTCACGTCACAGAGCTGTGCCTGTTGTCACCAGGATACAAATCAGAGGAAGAGATAAAATGAGTAGTCGCAATAATAAGAACAAGTGCAAATGAAGTAAGTTCTCCTAAATAGGGAAAAGAGAGTTGTCAGAACTTAGCAAACATTTCATCTTGAAAAAAGAATTACTGAAGACTTTCCTGGTATAGTTATATTTATGGAGAGTTCTGTGAAATGAATAATTTATTAGTGAAAGAGGACAGGGGTCCAGAACAATATTTCAGAGAGGAAACTAGTTGCAAGAGGAAAGGCTTCGTGTTGGTGTGAACAACTGGGACTGGATCTGAGAGTTGGGGGATTGGAGACAAAATACCCTGCAACAATCCTGAGGGAAGAACACAATAAACGCAGAGCTTGAAGACTGGGAAGATTTTGACACTTTCAAGTTACTCTCGATATTTAAAATCTCCAAACTGGACCTTACTGGTGGCACAATGAGTTAAAGCTCAGCATTAGGAAACTAGCTGCAGCCACTTAGTCACGTGTTGGATGTCACCACGGAGCTGACCAAGATGGCGCAGCAGACTCTCCTGTCTCACCTGCTGCTTCCCTCAGCAGTGTACTTAGTCAGTCGGCCTGTTCTGCTCCCCACTCTGTCTCTGGTGAATCCTTTCACCACACTCTGCACCTCTCGCCTGTACCCCAGTTCTGTATGCATAAATAAGTAAATCTTTAAAAAATAAAACCCCAAACAAACCCAGGACAAAAGAAGCCTCCTACACCTTCCCCTTCACAGTCACACATGGGACCTCCATCTCCATATACCAGGTGATCTGGGCCCAGAGGCCACTGTTATAGACACCAGAGAAACACAGAACCTTGAAAATAGATACTACAAAGTGGAATTCTATTTGCAGGAGTAATGTAATAGTACATTTAAAAATGTATGTATTTAAGGAAATGCATGCATTTTCAATTTGACAAAGTTACAGGCCTGATAGTATGGGCATAATAAAAATGATGATTAAGATACACACACACACAGCCTATATATATAGGCATAGTCCAATATATATAATCAGATTTAGTGATATGTTAGGTACAGTATGTCAAATAAATGGCTTCAAGTGTTTAAGAATGGTAGGTTTATCTCTCGTATTATTATAATTTTATAATTTTAGAATATCTAAAATGTCTCAAATTGAGTCTCATCATCTGATTCTTCAATTTATTTGAAAATATTTTATTTTTTAAAGATATATTTATTTATACATACAGAATGGGGATACAGTCCAGCTGTGTGTGTGTGGGGGGGTTGAGAGAATTCACCAGAAACAGACTGGGGAGCAGAACAGGCAAATCCATGAAGTACACTGCTGAGGGGAGCAAGGGGCGGGACAGGAGAGGATTGCCTCACCCTGTGGGTCATACCCCACCCCCAGTCAGGGGTTGAACTCATGCTGCACTGGCTCTGATAGCTTCACAGTGCTGTGCTTTAACCTGTTGTGCCACCAGGGAAGGAAGGGCTCTGAAAATATTTTTAAATTGATGAAATTGTGATCTCCAATTGGAATAATAAAGCATCAAGATAAAGGTGGTAGTGAAATTTTTAACACATGTTCAGCATTGAATTTGATATGTTTTATACATGTATTTCTGTACAATTCTTTGCAGAAATTTATATAAAATAAATAATTCATATAAGTAATTTATGTAAACATCACTTCAGTCTATTTTGTGATCTATTAAGATTGGAAATTTCATTTTCATTTTATATTTCTCAACCTTTGTTCTTTTTCAACATCTGTTTATTTGTACAGTTACTTTTTGAAAATTGTCTGTTACGTGTCTTGAGAGGGTCTTTCACACACAGACAGCTAGGTTTTCTATTGTGTTTGTAGATGCTGTAGTTTAGAGAAAACATAAGGGACAAACTCTGCACCTGTAAATTATTTTCTGAATCATCTACACCTTCTAATATTTTTGTAGATTCCACTCCCTTCTCCAAGCAAGTGAGATCTCAAAAGATTAGGATTACAATTCTCATCATTCCATGAATTTAATTTCCTATCTGGGTTCAATAAGAACTATGGACAGAGTTGAACAACCCTGCTTAACTCAAATCCTGAACAAATGTGTTCATGTTTGTTCATGTTTAGTTTGCCCCTTGTTTCTCACCTCAGATGATTCTGTTGGCTGGAGGTGTCATTAATAATTCTCTCTGTCTCTCTCCTCCCCTTTCCAACTCCCATTGCAAATAAAACTTTAAAAAACTTTTATGTGTTTATTTTTGGGTGTCATACTGAGTTC